GCCACTCGGCCGGCCCCTGAAGTGAATTCTTGTCGAAGTATGTGTCACACTAGTTTTCGTAAGCAACTTCCTGGTGGGTAAGCCCAGGCTGTTGCCTTGCTGTGGGCCATGCCCAGCTCTGTACCTGGTATTCCTGGATGCTGCCGGGGAGCATCTGCCTTCCCCTGTATCATGGCAGCCCAGAGGCCCCAGCACATGAGCCTTCCACCCCCAGCCCTGGTGCTGTCACTACGCTGGGGCCAGGCTAGGTCTGCAAGAGGCAGGTGGTTTGCTGGCCAAGAGATTGGGGTTTGGAGTTAGCCAGACCTGGGCTTGAGTCCCTCTGTTTTGAAGGTTGATTGGAAAGGAAAATGGGGGGTGAGGGGCGAGTTTTGGAAGGTCAGAAAGGAGCTGATGCAGTTTGTGTTAAAGACCTGAAGGCCATGGGAGGTTTAGAAGACAGCACAGGCTTCCACACCAGACGGACCTGGGTGTGAATCCGGACTGTCCACTTACCTGTTGAGGACAAGTTATTTTGTCTCTGAATGTGTTTTCTGTTTTGTAAAATATGTGGCTCAAATTGGGATAGTAATCCTTCCACAAGATCCCAGGGCAGGCAGGAGCAGTGAGGATGGAGAGAAAATAGGGCTGTTGGGTTTGGTCAGTGTTGAGGAAAGTGAATCAAAGTGGAGAAGACTGGGGCTGGGCTGCGCTGGGCGGGGTCTGGGCCTCGGACTGCCTTGTGATACTGTGTGGCCTCCCCCTCGCCACCCCAGAGGCCAAGCAGCCCCCTTTCTTCCTGCTGAGAAAACTAGGGGTGTCTGTTGGTCAGTGGCACTAGTGACCCTACTGCCTGGCCCTGTTCCAAGGAACGCCCAGTCTCAGTGGGGGCAGGGTCTGTGCTGGGTCACTCCCAGCTGGCAGGAACGCCCAGGGAGCTCTGAGTGGCCCTTTCCGCTCTCCCTCCAGCCTTGCTTCCTCAAGGACTGGGAGATGCATGTCCACTTCAAAGTTCACGGTGCTGGGAAGAAGAATCTCCACGGAGACGGCATCGCCTTATGGTACAGTCGGGACCGCCTCGTGCCAGGTAGGGCTTTGCTCGCGCAGGTGGGGATACCGGTGGCCAAGGATCCTTCACTGGGCACCCCCCTGTTAGGGCGCTGCTGCTCCTCTTTGAGGAGCCCTGGGACCTTGGCAGGGTGTCCCTTTGGGAAAAGGAGGAGCTGGACCCCGCAGCTCAACTCTGTACCCCACCGGGGCCTGGCGTTGTACACCAGCTAAGAATGGTTTTTACCATTCTACCATTTTAAAGGGTTATTTTTAAAAGCAAAAACAAGGCCGACTAGGTGACCAAGACTGTATGTGACACACAAAGCCCAAAATGTTTCCTCTCTGGACCTTGACAGAAAGTTGCTATCCCTTGTGTTAAAGGCTGGGGCCTCCTCAGAGCCACCTGGTTTCCACAGGCTGGATACCCCCTTGTCACCTGAGTCCTCAGAACACATGGCTGAGTGCTGTCCCCTCACAGTGCAGGTTTTAGACTTGAGTCTTCCCTGCCACGGCCCTGAGGCCGCCCCAAGCTTTTTTCTTTGCCTGGGGGAACGACCAACAGGTCGCCATCTCTTGCCCCACCCGCACAGGCAGTACTTTGTCCTCAGGTTACTCAGGGAACAACCCCAGTTTTCCCTGTGACGAGAGCCTCTCCTTCTCATTCCAGGGCCTGTGTTTGGAAGCAAAGACAATTTCCATGGCTTAGCCATCTTTCTGGACACATACCCCAATGACGAGACCACAGAGGTAGGCCCTGCTCCCCCGAGCCCCGCAGAGCAGGACGGGAAGGGCTGGGCGATGGGGGCTGGGACGTCTCCCTGGTCCCAGCAAAGAGAAACCTCCAGGGATGGGGTGGTGGGGCCCCCACCACCTCCCGCAAGCCAGGCTGGCTGCGCAGTAACCAGTGTCTTGGTCTTAGCGCGTGTTCCCGTACATCTCGGTGATGGTGAACAATGGCTCCCTGTCCTACGACCACAGCAAGGATGGCCGCTGGACCGAGCTGGCTGGCTGCACGGCCGACTTCCGCAACCGCGATCATGACACCTTCCTGGCGGTGCGCTACTCCCGGGGTCGTCTGACGGTGAGCCAGCAGTTGGGGGTGGGGTGGCTCTTCCTGTGCTGGTTCGGAGGGACTCGGCGGGCAGGCGGGCCTAGGACACGCTTGACCCGCTGGCTGGCTGCAGGTGATGACCGACTTGGAGGACAAGAACGAGTGGAAGAACTGCATTGACATTACGGGCGTGCGCCTGCCTACCGGTTACTACTTCGGGGCCTCGGCTGGCACCGGCGACCTGTCTGGTGAGTGGGCTGAGCAAGGCATTAAGTCTCGGCATTGACCTTCCCTGCTCTGTTGGGAGTTTGTGACACAGCTGATCAGTCTCCTTGAAACTCCTTTCATTGGTTCCACACTCGCCTGATCTCTTTCTGCTCCCTGCATTGTCGGTCACCGTTGGCACGCCAGGGCTCAGTGTGTGTGCAGTCTTCTCCTGAGGAGGCTCTGAAACTGCACTCTGTAGACCCCACATGTCCATCTGCGGTCTGGTGTCACTGACCACCTGCTCCACCCGGACGCCCATCAGGCGTCTCAGCCTTCACATGCCCACTACTGAAGACCACATCTTGCCACCAAGACATAAATGACACCTCTGTCTTCTGGTTGCTCAGACCAAAAACCTTGGTGTCATTCTTTTTTTTAACAAGATCACCAGTTTATTATAAAATGATATAATTCAGGAACAGCCAGGTGGAAGAGATGCATAAGGCAAGGCTTGGGGGAATGGTGTGGAGCTTCCGTGCTCCCTGAATCTCCACGTGTTCACCAACCTGGAAGCGCTTGGTGTCATTCTTGATTCCCCTTTTCTCCTATGTGCCATCTGTCATCCATCAGCGAGTTCTGCGGGCTTTGTCTTCACAATGCAGCATACCACCTCTCGCCCCTCCTTTACTACCTGGAGGGTCCAGGCCCCCATCACTTGGACAATTGCAGGAGCCCCCCCCCCCAAGCATTCCCCTCCCTCCACGCCAGCCTCTGACAGTCTCTGTCACCACAGCAGCCAGAGTGATGCCATTAAAGCTCTCATGAGGTGTCACTGCTTCTCCACTCAGCTCTGCAGTGGCTCCCCGGCTCACTCAGAGTCAAGGCCACCATCTGTCCCCGCCAGGCCCTAGTGCCAATGCCCCCCACCCCCAGTCACCTCTGACTACGCCCTGCTCCCTGGATGTTACCTCTAGCTGTTCACACAGTGTGGCCCTCCTGCCTCGGGCCTTTGTGTTTGTGTCACCCTCTTATCTCTTTCAGGTCTTGCTCGGATGTCAATTCTTCAGTAGGGCCTTCCCTGACTCCCTGATTTAAAATTGTATGCATTCCTGCACACTCTGGGTCACCTTTCACGACTTTATTTTTTCTTAATAGCACTTAACTCTCTTGGAGTCTGCCTTATAATTTATTTTATTGTCTCTTTCCCCTCACTGAATTGTGAGCTCCATGAAGTCGGGGCTTTGTCTTTGGCCCGCAGTGAGTCTTCTGGAAGCATTGGGGTGCTGCCAGGCCTGGGCGGAACTTGTGGGTAGCCGTTGGCTGCAGTCCTTGGTCCTCTTGGCCCTCAGATGGCACCGGGCCCAGGGCCAGCTCTTCACCACCAGAATTGGGAAGCAGCATAGAGCACCGACAGAAGGCTTGTTCATCCTCTGGATAGACCTTTCCAGGGCCTGTAAACCAGCGACTGTCCAGGAGCCTCCTCCCCATGGAAGTGTCTGAGTTCACTTGGTCCCCAGAGTGTCCATTGTTTGGGGATTTTGTTTTAAAGTATTTTATATGGAAATTTTAATGGTATACCCAAAAGAGGGGAGAGTGGTCCAGTCAGCCCCCTCGTCCTGGGAATCCTTACCTACTCACTGATTACCTGGTAATCAGTTCATAGTGCATTCAGGTAATCAGACCTTGTATCATCCCTGGATCCATCACCACCCTTCCCCTTGGGTTACTTTGAATTTCATATGACAGAATTTCAGCATCTGTCCTGAGGGTTTGGGAATGGAGCCAGGTCTGTGGTAAGTGGATGTTCTCTAATCTGTTTGGAGGCCAGTAAAGAGTGATGGAGAGAGCCCTGTGTGTAGTAGTCTGACCATTCATCGGGGGGATGTGAACGTCAGTGTCTGCAACAGGCATCTTATGGGTCAAGTCACGTGACATATGCTTAGGTAGCTATTTTCATAACCCAGACCGTTGGGAGTTGGAGCATTGAAGGGATTTCCCAGGTTCACCCCAGGAAGTGGCAGCGCTCTTGTGGGAACCTCAGTCTGACTTTAGAATCGGTGCCTGTCCCTGGGCCACCAGGGGCTACGCACACTGGGCTGTTGGGTGCTGTGTGGCTCTGCCCACTTGGCCACCAAGTCCTTGCTCTTTAGGCTTCCCCTTTCCAAGCATTCCCTCAGATTTCAGTCGGTTAGCTGAGCTGATAGCAGGAGTCAAGCTGACTGGGACCCTCACCTTGGCTCTGAGTCTTGACCTCCCCATCTCAGATGTGGGGTGATCAGTTACTGTCAAATGGAGGTTCTTTCCTGCCCAGACTGGTTGGACCTGGGCCTTTCCCAGGCCTCCTCAGGTGCAGCCACTGACCGTGTGTGAGGGCCGAGCCCTCAGCCAGACAGGAGCAGGCTTCTCCCAGGGGCCCTTTATGGTCGTTTTATGTGGCTGGCAGGGACATGGGCCATGCACCCCGTTGTGGGCTCAGGCCCTTTCTAAGCTAACTGTCGGTCCTGCAGACAATCACGACATCATTTCCATGAAGCTGTTCCAGCTGATGGTAGAGCACACACCTGACGAGGAGAACATTGACTGGACCAAGATCGAGCCCAGTGTCAATTTCCTTAAGTCGCCCAAAGGTATGTGTGCGTGGCCCCTCCCAGTCTGGTCCTGGGCTGCCTGGCACGGGGCTGGGGCTGGGCCGAGGTTGGCATGGGCATGTGCCCAGGTCCCCTGTCCTTGCCAGGTCTGGCTGTGGTTGTCGCCTGCGCTCTTGGGTCAGCAAATGGTGTTACTTGGTGCCTGCTTCCTCCTGCACTCGGTGCTAGACTAAATTCCAGTAAAGCCACAGGGACGTTTATTGGTGTAGGTGACATGTAGGGCACTGATACCGCACATGCAGGACCTCAGTGAATAGCCTAGGAAGTAGGTTCTGCCGCTAGCTGAGGGAACTGACCCCTCAGGTTTCTTCAGCTAGGATATAAAGGCAAGATGTGAACTTAAGTTTTTGCAAAACCCCAAGCCTGGGCTCCTCCTGTGACACTAATTAGCCACAACTCCTCCCTCACAAAGTGAGGGTCTGGGTGGAGAAGTGAGGCCCTTGTGTGTGGAGAAACACATCCCCAAGACCCTGACATTGTGCCGGGGGCCCAGCGGGGGCATAGAGGGACCGCTCAGCCCAGACAGAGTCACCATGTTGAGCGGGAGCCAGAGTGGAACCCAGCATTTTATGTGACATCTCACTTTTTTAAGGTTCTGATTACTTTTAAACATTTTGAGGGTCACACAAATCCTGTCATAGGCCCCTGTCTTGCCACCTTTGGTTCCAGGGCTTCTGGCTGCCAGGGACTCAGAGACCACATGTGCTCCCACCCACCCAGCAACCCCATGTGGTTGGCCAGGTGGGGATTAACTTGTTTGCAGATTTGTTGGCCTGTTCTTTCCTCTAGAAGATGGTTCAAAAGCCTCCACTCAGTGCCTAGCTATGGGCTGGACGCTGTCCCGGGGCTCAGCCTAGTGACTGAGGAGGAGAAGTGAGCAGAGGGGGCCGTGGGAGCACCGAGGTTGATAGGCTGCGGGGCTGCTGGAAGTGCCTCAGTTGGGAGCTCCTGATACATTCAGCAGCTGTTACTGTCACCGCAGAGGTGGAGAGGGGCCAGAGGTGGGACCGTGTCAGCAGGCCTGCCTGGTCAGGTCTTTCGGGAAGGGAGGGTGTCAGTGCGCTCGTGGCTTGATATTACAGGCCTGGCTGGGAGGAGAATCAGGGTGGTCGGGATTCTGGGAGATGCCACAGGTGTCAAGGCCTGGTGCCTGGCAGTCATCAGTGGGGTTAGCGGCAGGGGCATGGTATGAGGCAGAAGGGCAGGGTGGAAGCTGGGGGCCTGGGGCCCCCAGGAGGCACCGAATGCATCCAGGTGTGAGTCAGGGCAGATGGGGACCTCAGAACACTGCACCAGGGGTGGGTGTGGTCTTGTGAAAGCAGATCTTGGGCCTCCCTAGCAGGCCAGGCTCTTGGGGAGCCCCGGAATCCAGTGTTCACCAGCTTCATGCAGCAGAAAGGCACCCCAGACCTCGGTCTCTGGGAACCTTGGGGTCATCCCTCTCTCCACTCCCCCGGCCCTCACCAGTACGCTGTGCACAGCCACAACCATGGGGGTGGGGTGGGGTGGGGTGGGGGTCTTGGGGCCCCCGCCCTGCTTGGCCCTGTTGGGGGCCCTGTCTGGGAGCTCCAGGCCTCTCTGCTCTGCCACCTCAGCTCCTGTTCTCCCCCCTCAGACAATGTGGATGACCCAACTGGGAACTTCCGTGGCGGGCCCCTGACGGGGTGGCGAGTGTTCCTGCTGCTGCTGTGTGCGCTCCTGGGCATCATCGTATGTGCCGTGGTGGGCGCCGTGGTGTTCCAGAAGCGGCAGGACCGTAACAAGCGTTTCTACTGAGCCGCGGCGCTCCGCCTGGGGACTGGCCTTCGGCCCCGGCACCGATGTGAACTTTTCTTTTTACTGGGATTGTCAAAGAACAACAAGACGACCTTATTTCTTAACAGTTTCAAAGAAATAGTTAAAGTATTTTCGTACATTTTGCTTCTTGCCCAGCAGGGACAGGCCGGAGGGCTGGGAGAATAAGGATTTGGTGTCCCCACAGCTGGGAACAGAAGCCCTTGCTGTTTGTCAGCATCTCAGGAGCAGGGGTTCTGTACGTGGAGCTGCACTGAGGCCTGGCACTTTTGACACTGGAGGCCCTGCAGCCGTACGGGGGTGGATGCCTGAGGACATGAGCAGGGACTTGTTCCGCGCTGCATGGCGTGTGTGGCAGAAGACGAGGCTGACTGGGAAGCTTGGCCTCTGTGTCCACTTCTGTGCTTCCTCCCGAGGAAGACCCTCCAGTGAGGCTGGAGGAGCAGTTTGGTGGGGCTCCAGTGTGACCATTTGCTAAATAAAGTGAGATAGCCACCCTCAGCTGTGTGACTGCCCTCAGGGGCATTTTTTTCCCCCCCGAGGCCGCCAGGATTTCCAGCTCTCAGCCTCATTCCCTCGGGCAGGTAGGTGCTGTGCTCCCCATTTGGGGAGTGGGGGAGACAGATCTCAGAGGTCAAGCAAAGCACAGCCAGTGCCACATAGCAAGTGGGATCATGGGAACAGGACCCTGTGCCACCTCCCACACTCTCTGGGCCTTTGGGTGAAGGGGTCCCGTGAGTAGCGGATTTGGGGTACCATGCAGAGGGTGTGACCTCTGCCCACGAAAACGAGGTTGTGGCTAACGGGGCTCTGGGATGATCTGGAAGAAGGACAGGCTGGGGTCAGTGGTGGCATTCCCTTTGGGGTGCCTCGAGGGGACAGATGGTACAGGGAATAAAGAACGTGCAGCTGAAAGTAAGTGCCGCCATTTGATTCTCCACCTGGCTGCAGCTTCCTGCTGCCATCGGTCCTCCCCTTCTCACCCCAACCCCGTCTCGGAGCAGTGTGTCCTCATCTAGTCCAGAGCCATCCTCAGTGTCCCCCCACTCACAGTTCAATAACGTTTGAGTCTCCATCTTAAAAGCAAGAGCAACCAACCCTGTCTTCCTGGTGCAACCAGGCTTTTTGTAATAAACACTCAATTAGATTCTCACTGTAAAAAGTTGTTAGTATAGGACAGCGGTTCTCAACCTTCCTAATGCCGCGACCCCTTAATACAGTTCCTCATGTGGTGGTGACCCCCAACCATAAAATTATTTTCGTTGCTCCTCTATAACTGTAATTTTGCTGCTGTTATGCATCGTAATGTAAATATTTTTTTGTTTTCCGATGGTCTTAGGCGACCCCTGTGAAAGGGTCGTTCGACCCCCAAAGGGGTCGCGGCCCACAGGGTGAGAACCGCTGCTCTAGGAGGAGGGGAAGTGAAGAGTAAGAACTCAATCTTTCTTTCAGTCACTAGAGCTCTTTGTTGAGCTGCTAACCCTCTCTTGTTGCTCCTGATGTTTCACAGGTTAGATGTTGAGAGATTGCTCACGAGCTGACAGCGACCGAGAGGTCCGAGCTCAGCTTCCCCCACACGGACTTGGGACCCTGTCCATGAAGCTGTGAGAGTAAACATGATCCTCCTTAGTGAGATATTTTAGTGAGCACTTTCCCCCAGTTTGTTTACTTGAAAGGTAGCTAGCTGAGTGCTTGCTAGATGCCAAGCGTAGTTCTGAGCAGTTGACGTGTGTTGACTCATTTCACTCCCCAACACTCACCCATGTGGATGCCAGAAATCCACAAGGCTAGGCGGCTCTGGCCTCCTGACCATCTCCCTCCTGAGGGGAGCCATGTCCTTGCCGGCACACAGCTGGGGCCTGGAGCCTGGAACTCTCCATGGCTGCTGCAACCATGTCATCAGCACCACACTTGCCATACTTGGCCTTTAATTTTTGGCTCTAGTGTGGCCTCTGGATTCCTGAATTATTAGACAGTTTGGCTGTTTGGCTGTTCCCTTGGCTGCATATGAGAGTCACCTGGAGAATGAAAGTGAGCCTGCCTCATTCTCTAGTTCTGGTGTAGGAAGTTAGTAGGGCCTGGGCCAGGGCGGTTTTACAAGAACCTCTGTGGGTGGTTCTGACGAGTATATGGGCTTGGGAGCCTGCAGTGTTTTAAGGCAGAGAGTAGAGCGACCATGGTCTGTGCTGGGTATCAGGGTCTTGTTTGCATCCCTTTCGAAGCTCATACCTAGAGGTGCTTCCCCAGAGGGTTAGATGTGGGTCTTTACATCTGCCTTTGCACACACATGGGGTTGTCATGCCATCATGTACTTTTTTGCCGTGTGCATTTAAAGTTATTTCCTCATATAAAAAAATATAAATATATTCCTGGACCTTCTGTGCAGCGTGAGAAATAAACATTGACACTTGCATCCCTCTTTGTCCCCTGCCCTAAGTGGGTGCCTGTCCCCGTGGAAGTGATGCCTGCTGATTCTGACTCTGTTTCTTAAAAATGTTAGTGTGGAGGTGTGTGTCCTACACTACATGGTATTGTTTTGCATCTTTAAAAATTATAAATGGTACACAGACTTTTAAAACCCAGCACTGTGAGTGGCATGAGTGGACTCCAGTGTCTCCATCCTGCATGTCCAGATGTCCAGACGGGTTCCGGGTTTTTGCTCTTAGACCCAGTGCCACTCTGAACGCTGTGAGCAGGTCTTCACACACAGTGTGTGGGAGCTGCGTCGTAGCCTACGTGCACTTCGTTTTACTAGACGTCAGATTGTTCTCCAAAGTGGGCTGTAGCCAGTCCACTCCAGCCTTGGCAACTGGGCCCCCCCCTCTGCCCGCTTCTTAGCACTTGATATTGTCAGAGTGCTTATTTTTTGCCAGTCTGATGGGTGCAAACGTTTTTTTGTTTGTTTTTTGGTTTTTTTAAAAGGTAGCATTCAGATAGGTCTTGTTTTTGTTTTTTAAAAAAATTTTATTGGGAATTGGGAAAGGGGAACAGTGTTGTGGGATTGGGGAAGGGGAACAGCCAAGTTGTTGTCCTTCAATCTTAGTTGTGGAAGGCGCAGCTAGCTCAGCTCCAAGTCTAGTCGCCATCCGGTCACCCGTTGACAGCTCAGGGCAGCTCAGCTCAAGGTGCTGTGTTCAACCCCAAACGTTTTAATTTGCATTTCTCAACTAGTCAGGTCGAGGACCTCTGTGTCCTCAGAAGTGCCTTTGTATTATATTTCCTGCATGCAGAGTTCATTTTGCCACTTTTTCTCCTGTCAGATCCTCAGGTTGTTGCTTTGCAGTTGCCTCCCAGCGTGTGTGTCTGTTTGCTTTTCTAATGATGTCGTGTGATACACAGTCTGCATTTTAATGCCATTTGCTAACCTTTTCCAAAGATGTTTCCCCCCCCCCCGAGTTTTAAAATTTTGCTTTTCAAATGTAGCATTTAATCTGCTTCGAGTTAATTTTGGAGTAGGGGGTGATATAGGGGTCCGATTGTTCCCCGCCGTGCCCAGTCCACTGTCCCAGTACCTTTACAGACTCATTCATTTCTCAGCACAAGCCGAGCCGCAGTGTCACTGAGGCAGGCGCTCAGCGGGCTGCAGCCCCATCCTGATGCCCCCCTCACCTTTCACTTCTCCCGTGGCCTGGAGGCTTGTACTCAGCTGAACCTCCCAACTCCTTGGCGAGGGTGGCCTGGTGAAAGCAGTGCCTGAGCCAGACTGGTGGCATCTGTGGAGGAGGTCCTCAGTAACAGTGGCAGACCAGCTGGTGTGGCCGTCTGCCTGCCCCCCTCTTCCTGCTGGAAGGCAGTGACTCCAAAGATGCACAGCACCCCCACCCCCTTACTTGTGACCACAGGGGCAGTGATGAACATGGAGCAGGGAGCCGGTGAAGTGCGGGTCCTTAGGACATTGCTGAGTGCTGCTCTAGCCTGGACTGCCCACCACGGGGATTTTATGTGAAAAAATAAATCTTGTTCAAACCACTGTGAGTCATGTTTTCTGTTTGTAGCTTAAAGACAGCCAGCCCTGCCTCTGCCCCGTGTTGTTTTCTAATACATGTCTGCTCTGGACTGTAGGTGATATTCACACGTCCACTCTGCCACACGCTGGGCCACTGGGACACAACAGAGACCAAAGGGACAGAAACCTGTGCCCCTATGGAGCTTACAATCTAGTGGGGAAATTAGGTAAAATCAATAAGTAAAATACATGCTACCTCAGATAATGCTTGTATTTGTTTCATAGAGCTGCTATGATAGAACCACAAACTGGGTGGCTTTAAACAACAGAAATTTATTGTCTCCCAGTTCTGGAGGCTCGAAGTCTGAAAGCAACATTGTCGCAGGGCCATGGTCCCTCTGACGGCTCTAGGGAAGAAACTTCCCTTGCCTCGCCATTCAAAATTCTGGCAATTCCCCACAATCCTGGCATCCCTTGGCTTGTAGACATGTCACTCCAATCTCGGGCTCCATCATCACACGACTGTCTACATTGTCTTCTGTCTCCAAATTTCCCCTTTATAAGGGTACCAGTCATATTGGATTAGCCACCCTCCATGACCTCATCTTAGCTTGGTTAGATCTACATAGACTGTATTTCCGAATAGTCATATCCTGACATGCTGGGGATTAGGACTTCAACAGCTTTTTCTGGGAACACAATTCAACCCATGACAATGGTTAGGAAGGAAAAGGTTAGGGGGATAAGAGTTGGGTGGAGATTGAGAAAGACCTGCTGCGACTTGGCCAACAACCTGAAGGAATCGGGATGAAAATTCATTGAGCTGTTCACATAAGATTTGTGCATTTTTGCCATATATAACATTTCAGTGTATGTTAACTTTAAAATATATGCAACTAGGGCCGGCTGAGTGGTGCGTTGGTTAAGAGCTGGCTTGGGATGCCAGAGGTCCCCGGTTCGGATCCCACATATGAGGGCCAGTGACACTGCCCTCTACAGCTAAGATGCTGAACAACAGCTCGACCTGGAGCTGGGCTGCCGTGAGTCGCCGGCGACGGCATAGGCTGCAGCCACTGCTGAGTGGGTTGCCATGGGCTACCGTGTGTAGCCAGCAGCCAGTGTGAGCAGCCAGCAGCCAGCGTGAGCGGCCATCCAGAAGCCGGTGACTGATCTGCCTCCCCCAGGAAAAGCACAAAGATGGTGCCAACTTGGCCCAGTGAAGCAACGTCCTCCACAACTAGACTGAAGAACAAAAGGACAGCAACTTGTCTGTTCCCCTTCCCCCAATTCTCCAGTGCTGTTCCCTTCCCTCAATTCCCCAATAAAAATCTTTAAAAACTCTCTCTCTCTCTCTTTCTCTCTCTCTCTCTCTCTATATATATATATATATATGCAACTAAAAAAATATATATACTGTATATGTGCTTTTCAAAACAGCTTTATCGTAAGACTCTCGTGATCAATATTTGACATTTCTTGATTACTATCAATAACATTGACAATGCACGTGTGTGCTGAAATAGTCTTTCCCCTAGTTTTACCGTGATTCATTTCG